ATGTCAGCACACAGGGTGAGAAGGAAAAGTTTTTGCAGCCATTTATTTCTCTCCTTAAATAGCATGGATTTAGACACCCTGTAGGAGTTGCTGGTAGTTCTGAACATCAGCTTCTGTTACTGCACGTCCACACATCTCTGTATGGAAGAACATGCTTTTCAAGGCAGAGAGCACTGAAGGGCAAAACCAGAACAACCTGCTTTTTCATGGTCCCCTCTGCAGTCGTGGGAAAGGCCTCATGTGCCTTAGGGTAGAAAATTTTGCTACTTTGTGTGCCTATGCTTATCTCATTGAAGTTCACAAACATGATCTTATTTCTGAATTCTAGCATTTTGGACATTGTTGCCTCCTATAACAAAGGACAGGTGGTCTGGCAAGAAGTATTTGATCACAAAGCGCAGGTAAGATGGGAAAATTAATAAGATACTCTTGCAAAACAACACAATATTATGGGAGGCTTCCAAAGTAGACTATTAAGTAGTTATGTTTGTGTCTCTTGAGAGCTGATGTTTGCTGACATTAGCAAGTCTCCCCAGTCCTGGTGCCTGCCTTGAAATTACCATTTGTTGAACACATAAAATAGGTGGAACAGAAACACCAGTGTTGAAATGCTTGTTAAAGGTGATCACAGTTAATATAATTTGCTTTAAAATGCCAGAGTAAAGGATAGGGACATTTCTATGAGGTTTGGGTTTTTTTCTCCCTCACGTAGCTCTGTGTCTGGTAACACTTGGTGCTCAGCTTTTAACGGCTGGTCAGATACCTGGTACATGTAGGAATCCTCTTAGGGCATTAACTACCAACAGTATAAGCTAGGCTTTGCTCTAGTGTGAGCTCTGTCTAAAACCACCAAAGACCTAAGCAGCTTTAGACTTGGGGAAGATGACAAAATGTAGCTTTCAAAATATTCCTCTTCAAAACAAAATAGCCAGTTTTGAAATTCATGATCCTTTTTCCTGGTAATAGCAATCAGGATTGTCATTAATGGTTTTATGGGGTGGGGTTGTCTGTTCTGTCTTTCCCCCTTTCAGCTGAAACCAGACACTGTGGTTCAAGTGTGGATGCAGAACAACTATGCTCATGAACTGAGCAGTGTCACTGGAGCTGGGTTCGCCGCTATCCTGGCAGCACCCTGGTACTTAGACTACATTAGTTATGGGCAAGACTGGAAGAAATACTACAGCGTTGAACCACTTAACTTCCCTGGTTTGTTACTTTTTTTTTATAATGCATGTTCTGTGCATCAAAGCCTTTGGTCTATAAGTAAAGTGTCAATGGAAAGTATGAGGCTGTTCAGAGTGGTCATTCTGTCACAGTGATTAAGTGTAATCAAAGGAATTTAATGTCAGATAGAACTCTGGAAAATTTTCAAACTAAAAAAGAAGGGAATGTAGCACTTCTTAAAGGGAAAGATGTTACCTTCCTCCAGCATCTGATGCCAGTGCATGCATGAGACAGGATGCTGGAATTTGTAGACAGATGCATCATGCTTTAGGAGCAGAGTTGTGCAAAATGGCTGTTGGTAGACCAACACTGAATTCATATGTTATCAAACTTCTAGAGAGTTAGACTGTTCTAGAAAAAGGCATGTTCTCTCCCTCTGTCTAAAGCTGATACAAACATCTTTATCCTTCCCACGGGGCTTTCAGTTTGTGCAAGGTAGCTCTCAGAGCTGATTAGGGAGAACACCTGACTAAGTAGTTTTTTCAAGGAATGTTCTGCATGTGACAGAATCAACAGTTTCCATCAGGACTGAAATCTCTGAGGAATGTCGGAAGGCTGAGGAATGTATTCAGAGAGTAAAAGGTGAAATCCTTTCTGGCAGAGAGAAGAAATGCCTTCCCTGGGCAAATGGCCTGGTGGTTCTCACATTCAGTGACAAGGCTACCAAAATGTTAAGTTAGTGCTCAGGGTAGGTATTTTATATGATAAAACAAACAACTGACTATCAATCCTCTCTCAGTATTAGCAAATTAAATTGTTGACATATGCCCATCTTCTGTACAAATAGAAATTTTGACTTTCTGCTTTGAATTCAGGATCTGACAAACAGAAGAAGCTTTTAATAGGTGGAGAAGCTTGCCTGTGGGGGGAATTCGTGGATGCAACTAACCTGACACCAAGGTTATGGTATGAACTGCTTTATCATTAGATTTAAAAAAGCCAGCTACAAGGAGAATTAATTAATCCAACAGGACTGTATGACTGTGGTAACAGTGCTCTGTGCTGAACCTGAGCAGATATAAAAAATGATGTGTCTGGATATATAAGTCCTGGTATTACAAATTTGTATCCATTCTCAGTGATAGGCCATACCTGCTCTAAAACCCAGTATGCCTTTACAGGCCTCGAGCAAGTGCTGTAGGGGAA